ATAACATCTTGAAGACCATTATTATGAGATGTATAGATTTTTTCAGTTATTTTTACTTGTAAGCAACACTTATGAACTTTCTCATTCAAACAGGGTGGGGTGGGTGTGGGTGTGGGTGTGTGGGTGTCCGTATGGGTGTGAATATTGAAGGACAAGACACCCACACCCTCCTTTTTTGTTCTTCTGAATTCAGACTGAAATCAAATAACCTATTGTATGTTCCTTGCCGAGTTGTTAGTGCCTACCTATATAACATCTTTAGTAAGCACGGCTACATATAAGAAATCTCAATGGAATATGACTCACTTCTTGATTTTTATCAAGGCACTCTATTCTCTTTGAGTCCGTTGCCTATTACTTATTTGTCTAACTACTCTCTCTCTCTCAAAAAGAAAAATCGAATCGCTTTTTAAACGTCGGAAGGATAGCTAAAACGAAAAGAAAAGCATCTATTTTAAAAAAAAATCATTGAACTAAAATCGATGCTTAAGTAAACCTGATAATGAATATAAGATATTTAAAAAAAATTACTTACTTCACTGTTATTTCAAGAATGAAAACAAAAAAAAATAGAAAAAGAAGCATAAAGGAAAAGAACTGCTTACGTACAATTTCCGGTTAATTGGATCAATCTTGAATAAAAAAAAAGTAGTTACGACTTAAAAACTATGTATACTTGATTTAAAAGGAAAGAGAAAGAGAAATATATATGTATAACAAATTTTGGCTTAATTATTCGGAAAGCATCTAAATAATTAATAAGAACTAAGAAAAATAAAATTACCTGATTTATATCGACAAGTTGATAAAAGAACCTAAAGAGCGAAAAAAACTTATTTTAATATAACATCGGTAAAAAGAATAGAAATTAAAGAAATTACTTAGCTACTGTGAACTGGCCATTGATGCATCTAAGAACCCCTAATTAAAAGTACGTACAGAAACGAGCAACAAATTTGAGTTTTTCTTGCTAACACTTGTTTCTGGACTTATGACAACTGTCTAGTTGATTGTGATGGATATATGGTTCGATTCTCCGTCGAATGGTGATGTTTTTGACGGATATCCTTCATGGAAAAATAAGAGTTTGAATAAAAATACCCGGTTTTGAGAGCATGTCCATGATAGTGTTGTATGTTGTCTTGGATGTGGGTGTCGGATAGCTGTGGATGTAGGTATAATTATTATCTATACCGCACACTCACATGCACAGCGACACCACTACACCGACAGCCAAAAGATCGAAGAAGAGTATCTCTTATCTTGTAGGCGACTTGCCGAGTCCGTTGAGAAAATTTCACTGAGATTGCCTACGTAAGGTTCAACCGTGTGCGAAAATTTTTGACTTGATGAGCTCTAAGCATCACCTTCATCATGACTATTATAGAATGCGATGGAAGTGGTGCCTTCTCTCGAAGCCTGAGTGATACGAAATAGAACTTGATAATACATAATCTATTAGATAGAGGAAGTCTTTCTCTACTAACCTGTATAGATACGTTCTGGGATGAAAAATCACTATGAAACTTATATTCTCCTTTTCAATCCATACGGCGATTCTAGTTTCAAAAATTTTAATTAAAACTAATAAACATACTCGAAAGCGTTAACTCTATTTTGTTTTCTAAGATTTTATCTATTAAATTATTCAATTAGTGAAATTTTTAGTGGAATTATAAATCTGAAAAATAGTGGTTGTATCACGGAACTGACATGAATATCATTTTAAAACTAAATCTGTTCTTGCAATAGAATTCTTCTTCTTGAAGTATTTTTATTTAAATATGTCTAGTTTTCCGGATAATGAACTGAAACGGCTGAGGTCAGTATTATTTCTGTACTGTTAAAAGTTCAAAAGATCTCTTTCCATAATTTGAAACCAGTTTTAGTTTTTTGAGAAAACCAATTTAATTAAAACTTATGACAACTAATGAGAGCCAATTGACGACTCAGGGTCTTCTATTCTTAGAAGAGATTTTATTCAATATGGAAAGCAGCGTACCTTCAAATATTGCCTTTACTATATCATATACTATGTTTCTATACTCCTAAAAATAAGTGTTCGTCCTTCTGGAAGACAAAATCTAGATAAAAAAAAAACTGTTTAATCCTATAGGCAGCTCTCAAATAAGAATTAAACTACAGTAAAACCTCTCTAATTGGGACACCGTTAGAAATGGGTGAAAGTACTCATTATTCGAAGATTATACACAAGGTGACCTTTTTTTGCTTCTTTCCAACAATATTTTTTAACCAGAGATAAATCAATACGTACTGACGTGACTTGATATCACTAGCTGTTAAAATAAAAACTACGATATGTTACATGTAGGACTCTTGCTGTTGTCTGATGTTACTTCTTTTTACATTTACATATGCATCATTAGTCTATCCCCTTTTCCTATGTGTCCCAGATTTGCTTATTATAACATCCGTTCTTTTTTTTTTTTTTACATTGATATTTATTGTGCCATATAATAAGTTGTTTCACAAGTAAAAAGAAAGATAAGAAAAAAGAGAGAAGTGACAGTTTAAGAACAGTACACAGAGAAAGAAGAAAAGAGTATATAAATATACAAATAGTTTTACATTAACGCATGAAGGAAAAAAGAACACCGACGTTTAACATCTTCAGGGAGGACAAGAAAGTAAACAGATTGAGGAAGAACGTGATTTACAGTCAAGGGAGACAGATTCATCAATCTCTCACGTTGGGGTAAGGAAAAACTTGAGTACGAAGCGGAACAAGTGAGTGTTAGACTTCGTGAAACAGTCACATTGATTGATATGGGCGTTTTCAAACTCAATCCAATCGATAATGCAGTGCCTCGCTTGCTCACACAATCTACGGGGAAAGATACTGTTAGATTTAAAGCCCATGGATTTGAGCCACTCCCTCCGAGGGGAGGTTATGATCAAGTACGCAGACCATGTTTGCTGGAAAACAGCAGCTTCATCGGCAGTTAACATGTGTATTATCAAGCGGCGCTAACATACGTTGTTTTCTGTCGTGTCACTGGTCAATTGTAGAACATCTATTGACCACATTCCAGAGGTTTTTATTATTCATGGGACTATAAATAGGTGTTCAGAATAAGAAAAACTAACCGACGAAATAGTCTATCTACTATTATAGTTCATAGATTAAGAGATTTTCTTTCGTGAACAAATAATCTTAATAAATTACAGCTGATGGCATCATGATATTAAGTTTTTTCTCATAAAGATAAAGATAATTTTGTCCATTACCACTTGAAACTTGACTACATAAATTTTCTTGATCATCATGACATGCATAAAATAAAACACGATCAAGATTATAATCATCCGATTGCATTTCAGTCAAGCGAAATATTTCTTTAAGACATTGTGGAACTAGTAGATTCAATTTTTGTGATCAACATGAATTAACAGGTGCTTATTCATGTGATAACTAGAAAAATACAAAAGTTTTTTTATTTTCTTTTTTGAAATTTTTATTATTCTATTAATTAAATACATACATCTTTATTATTATCATCTAATCGACCATATTTTATTTTTTCAATATCAAGTTTACATGCATCAACAAAATATTCTGTTAAACAACAATCATTGAAAAAAAACAGCTTACATTTGATTAATAAAACAACGATAAGATAAATCAATTACATTAGGCAAATGATATTATAAACATGTTACAAGACGACCAGAACCACATTTATCAATAAATGCTTTACATTCATTAAATAATTTTATATCCTGTTAACTCTGTTTTACAGTTGCACCATCAAAACGTTGATCATGTGTCATATTTATATTAAAAGCTGTAGATAAGCTAAAATAAAATAAAATCTATTAATTTAATACAGAAAAAAAACGAGCTTTCCTACTTATATGTTGACATTCTTTACTAATTAAAATGGCATCCTATAATTATAATAATATATAGAGAGATAGATAATTTATTTCTGTACCAAAAAAAAAACTTACATTACCAAGATTATCGACACATTGTAATACTTTTAAATTTGAAATTAATTGTTGATTTATTTTATTACAAAATTTTTGCACATCAAGTTTACATTCATTACTTCTAGCAAGTGGTGTCGATGTTGAACATCGATTTAATCGATTGAGTGAACGTACTGTTGATGGATTAACAGCAACTGGTTCTTGATTATCATTATTATAATTAGCTCTATTGCTTGGAGATAGTTTACTGTCATATTTATTGCTTTTAATTGATGATTATATTCGTTTTTTACTGATTGACGATCATCATTTTGAATGTTAGAATCATATTTCTGAGCAAAAATTGCAGTAAATAAGATAAATACACAGAGAAAAAAATAATCATTGACATAGCATCTGATTGCTTATTTAAGAGAATTCTTTTTTTGCTTTTAAAATATTCATTATATAAGAAAGAAAACGACTAGATGTGTGATATGACTCTTTAAGTCGAACACAAGATATTAATAGAATAATGAGTATTCTGTTGATAAATAAATAAATAATAATACATAATGAATGATATATAAACATATGAAGTGAAAAGAACTATTTATTAGCGATATAATGTAACTTGAAATAAAGTTATTCGTTTTTTTTTTTCGTTCAAATTGCAGCTTATTCATTCATGCAAAACGTTGTTTGAATATTTGGTCGGAAGAAAAAGATGAGAACGGTGAATGAATTATACAGAAATTCTGTTAACAAATATTTTATTAAAATATGTATACATAACTTTTATTTCAATAAATTTATCGTTAAACAAGAATAAACATTCTTCTTTCAAGAAAGATATTGGTAGTAAAAAATTTTCAAAGAAAACATTTTGCACTAAACTTTCCAACATCAACAAATATGGAGTCCTTACTATGATCGTCTATAGCCGCCGTTTATGAAGAAATCCAAGCCAAATAAGTACGTTCTCAAATGACTGTATACAACACGGAGATATACAGTCGTAATACGGAACCATATAAATCGTCGTATTTCTCTATATACAGTCGTTTATGATCATCTCTGTTTGACTTGGAGTTATGATATTCTATGTTAACCTTCGATTCGGTCATTTAGAGATCGGAAATGCTATAACAACTTGTAGGCATCATATATAAGTTACAAATGGTTGCACTGTAAGGGAATGTATAAATAGAGGAAAAGATGATCTTTTTAGGATCCAAATCCTAACATTTTGTGCTGTCCAAGTAGGTGTTCTAAGCCAAGTAGATTAGTAGGGAAATCTTAATCTTTGTTTAGCGTCGGAATGTATCATCATCAATGCTGACATAATTATGTTTCTTTTTTATCGAAATATTAAGAATGAATAATAAATTATTATTCTCATTTTAAACTTATTTTAACGCTTCTAAGTAAATATTGATTAGATCGATTTATGAGAGAAGTTCTCCAACTAATAAATCGCTTTTTCGCTAGAGGCTATGCGCATTATGAAGATTCAAAATAAGTTATGAATACTCTGAAAAGACTTCGTGCTCTTAGGTTATTGATGCAGAGATATTGTACTTTTAGTGTATGATTTTTAATGAATATCATTGGGGCCCTCAGGAACATCAGAAAAGTTAATTTTCGAATTATGATTTGAAGCTTTGCACAGAGAGAGATCTTAACGAGAGTAGTTTCAAATCTTTTGGTTTGCTTCTATCTTGAAATAAGACGATCAAATCTATCGATTTATATAAGCGACGTAAAAGATACACTGTTAACATAGTTATATCTTAGGATTAGAGCAGTGATAAGATCTGAAACATTCACAAAAAGCTATTCTTGTTTATGACCTATCTTTCTATGCAAAGCTTCAAATCAAAATTCGAAAATTAGTTTTTCTTATATTTTTGAAGGGGACTACAGTATACATTTAAAAAATACTGTAAAATTGTCATATCTCTGCATCAATGAGCTAAAGGTACAAACTCTTTCCGGAGTATTCATAGCTCATTTGAGTCTACATAGTGCACATAGTCTCAGCTGGAAGATTTTCTTGGTTACTCAAAATGTTCATTGGGCTTCAAATGTAATATCCAATAAGAAAACTAGTCTCATCAGGACAACGAGTATTTCAATATATTTCTTTATAATCTCATCCATTTCATAATTCAAAATGCTTTCAAAGAATCACACTATTCCTGAACAGATATATAAAAGAACGAAAGGAGAATGGTTTCATATTCCATCGTTGTAAGATATCAACTCCGTATGATAAATATCTGTGTATGCAAAACAATGAACATGTTTGACAAGAACAGAAAAAAAGAAAGCAATAAGGATAGTAGAGAAAAAAGTTTTATATCTCTTTTGATGTTAATTTTTTCTTCATGCTAAATCAATTCAGCAAATCAAAACCGAATATTTGACGAAAACTCATTGCCAAGAGAATGAAAAATGTTTTCAATTCATTGAAAACAAAATACTGTTACATAAATACAGTTTGAAGGTTACAAATTAGAATCAAAATTCACTTATGAAACAGAAACTTCCATAGATTTTTAAGAGAAAAAAATTTTAAATATTTCGAATAAAATTTCTTAATATTATATATAAATTTAATTTGAAATAATAACAAATAGAATATAACTTATTTCGAGAATGCTATAGAAATTATACGCCATACAAATTTGAGAATGTGAGTACGATTAGATTCAACAGAAAATATTTATATTATTGAAAGATGTGATGTATAAAGAACAACATGATAAAAAGTAACATTATATGAAACCGATGTCAAAGATAGTAGAGAAAAATTTGTTTTGTCTCAAAGATTTTAACAAAAACAAGAATATTTTTTTTTTATTTAGTTTCGTTAACAAAATTATGTGATGAGTCAATCAATAACTTTAATATGATTACTAGCTACAACATTATTATACGATAAAACTGATGTTATATCAATTTATATAATAAAAGTATAGGATTCTAAACAATATTGATGAAATGAAGTAGAAAAATATTGATCTAACAAAAAAGAAATGTATACATGCAGAGATTTTACACTAAAATTTCTCTTTTCAAATTATCACTTACATATACTTATTGAATCATTAGATAAGCCAAAAGCATTAACAATAACAAAGGATACTTGAATAATAAATTGACGTAGAGATTTACCAAAAACAAAATGTTATATTATTGACAAACGTGAAGCATCAAATGAGAAAAATAAGATGCTAGTTAAGCAACATTATTCATTCATTTTCAACAATGACAAGCATCTCCTCGTTTATGCGAACAATAAAACATTATGTTTACTTACATGACGATACTACATATTGATACAGATAATAATGAATCTATTCGAAATTATATTGTTGAAAAACAAAATGTTGAATATTTTCAAAAATGACAAAATGTTAATAATTCATTACAAACATGCATATAATATATAGATTGTTGACGTAATTCCTATAGTATTCAAATTTATAATACAATGTATCAAAAATCAAAGATTTCGAATGTGTTTTTATTTAAAATGTGAATTTCATGTAATATTTTCAAGTGAAATCTGTAAAGGATGTTGTTCAGCTTGACATGGTATAGGTTGTTTGGTTTTGTTTTTGTAATGGAGGTCGATCTAATATTTGTCTTACATTCCGAGTACGATAAATCTTACTTATCAAGTTGATATTAGTTTTGCAACATCTGGAAGTAAATATATCATAACAGAAGACGTATTATATGAAATAAAAAATGAAACCATTGTTTGTAATACGAAATATTGAAATACAGAAATTTATTTTTCTCTGTGCTTCTTTTTATAAACTAAAGTTAAATCTCTTTTTTTTTATGTCATCCATGATCAAGTAATTTACAAATATTACATGTTCAAATAAATGTTTTTCATGTTATATGAGCAAATGTTAAACGTATTGTATTGATTCTTAATATGAAATCTTGATATTTATTTTGCACAAAAGAAATTAGATATTCATGAAGCTGAACTATTTAAGCCAAATCATTACAAATAAATATATTCGTTTCTTTTTTTTTTCTGATTATTTTACTTTAATTTATTTATTTGTCCTTGTTCACATACTAAAGATTAGAATCAACTTGTTCACCAGCGATTCTGTTTTTTTTCTCTCTTGCCATTGAATATGCACTAATTGTTGGCATGCAGTAGATCATTTAGGGTATGAGTGTGGTGCGAATAAAATAAGCACATGTGCATCCGTACCTACACTGACACCTCAAAACTTTTTAAAGAAAATAAAAAAATGAACAAGAATATTAATGGAAAAACTGTAAGATATCGATAAATTGCCCGTTAATGAGAAAACGATGAAAATGATAATCTCATCAATTATTGAGCTGATGGAAATCAATTATGTTTTCTCTTGGTCTTTGACGATCAGTCTTCTAATTGATGCAAAAAAAACATTGCGATGTCACTGATTAATTACTCATTAATGATCATCATTGACTGGTAGTTCAAGTTTTTAACAATTATAAGAAATGGTTTCCTAGTATGAAATCATTCTATTCAATCGAACACCTTCTAATGGACATTTTTTTTTCTAGGAGACGTAAAGAAAGTTAGCGGAGAATTTGAGTTTTTTCTGCTGATATCCACTCCTAGACTTGGGCTGACTTTCTAGTTGGTCGCGTTAGATGTAAAATTAAATTCTGCATTGAATGATGATGCTTTGAAGGGAAAAACTATTATTCTTATAGGTATTTGTGATTTTTATTGAAAATGTTTTGTAGCCTACTTGAACTGATTGGTGCATCATATAAAAACAACTTGATAAATAGTTTGTTCTGCTATTATTGCACAATATTCGAATGAACATGCTTTGCACACGAGTTTGCTTGCATATCGGAAAAATGATAATTTAAATATCAAAAATCTTTTACTATTTTGTTTAGATCCTTTTTTCCAGAAAGATGAAAATTACGGCAACAGCTTATCACAAACTATCTGCTTTTTTCTTATAAAATAAACTCTGCTTTTCTATAAGACCAAATCGTGACGATTTGAGACAACAAGAGCATATATCCTAAAAGGATAGATGCACTGTTGCTTTCAACAAATTGCAGCGATGACGAACAAGACCCATCCAAAAATTATGAAGATGATCGGAACACTGAGTATTTCTGATCAAATTTCTTGTTTTTGTCCGATAACTTTCCTTGCAAGTATCACTATTCGATGTAGCATTTAATTTTGCCTCTAACCTAAACAACTAGAAACTCAATCCAAGCCTAGGAGAGAATGTCAGCAGAAAAAACTCGAATCCACTATTAACATTCCTTGCATGT